TCTGGATATGCATAATTTGAATATAGTATGCGTGACTGTTTGACCGTAACGCTCGTCGGTCACAAGATCGTCATCGATGACAGTTTTGAGAAATGCAAATTTTGGAACCGCAGAAACTCCAGCCGATTCGTTTGATCTGTAGATGTTCACATGCTCAGAGGTCCCACCGGTGCTCACCAATGGCAGGTGTGAGAATATGAAACAGATTTTGGAATTCATATGACACATGTTTATCGCAGGTGAGTTGCTATGTCGCAAAGTTGATGTTGTGATGAAAACAAACATATATAACTTGAAAACTAATACATGTGCCATAATACCGAGCGTGCCAGGATTCGAACCTGGAATCTTCTGTCTGATCCGTAGACAGACGCGTTATCCGTTGCGCCACACGCCCTGTTCGCCTTTGATGCGTTTGCCTAACACTCGTGACACGTATTGAAACAATCAAAATACATAGGAATTAAAAGTTAAGATAATTGAATTCTGGATATGCAGAATTTTGAAGTATAGTATGCGTTGACTGTTTGACCGTAACGCTCGTCGGTCACAAGAGCGTTCATCGACGACAGTTTTGAGAAATGCAAATTTTGGAACTGCAGAAACTCCAGCCGATTCGTTTGATCTGTAGATGTTCACATGCTCATAGGTCCCTCCGGTGTTCACCAATGACACGTGTGAGAAAATGAAACAGATTTGGGGATTCATATGACATATGTTTATCGCAGGTGAGTTGCTCTGTCGTAAAGTTGATGTTGTGATGAAAACAAACATATATAACTTGAAAACTAATACATGTGCCACAATACCGAGCGTGCCAGGATTCGAACCTGGAATCTTCTGATCCGTAGACAGGCGCGTTATCCGTTGCGCCACACGCCCTGTTCGCGTTCGATGCGTTTGTCTATTACTCGTAACACGTAATGAAACAATCAAAATACATAGGAATTAAAAGTTAAGTCATTTGAATTCTGGATATTCAGAATTTTGAATTATAGTATGCGTTGACTGTTTGACCGTAACGCTCGTCGGTCACAAGAACGTTCATCGATGACAGATTTGAGAAATGCAAATTTTGGAACCGCAGAAACTCCAGCCGATTCGTTTGATCTGTAGATGTTCACATGCTCATAGGTCCCTCCGGTGTTCACCAATGACACGTGTGAGAAAATGAAACAGATTTGGGGATTCATATGACACATGTTTATCGCAGGTGAGTTGCTCTGTCGTAAAGTTGATGTTGTGATGAAAACATACATATATAACTTGAAAACTAATACATGTGCCACAATATCGAGCGTGCCAGGATTTGAGATTTGAAGCTGGAATCTTCTGATCCGTAGTCAGACGCGGTATCCGTTGGCCACACGCCCTGTTCGCCTTTGATGTGTTTGCCTAACACTCGTGACACGTATTGAAACAATCAAAATACATATGACTTAAAAGTTAAGTCAATTGAATTCTGGATACTCAGAATTGTGAAGTATAGTTTGCGTTGACTGTTTGGTCGTAACGGTCGTCGGTCACAATTGCGTTCATGGATGACAGAATTGAGACATGAAAATTTTGGAACGGCAGAATCTCCAGCCAATTCATTTTACCTGCAGATGTCCACATGCTCAGAGGTCCCACCATTGCTCACCAATGGCAGGTGTGAGAATATGAAACAGATTTTGGAATTCATATGACACATGTTTATCGCAGGTGAGTTGCTATGTCGCAAAGTTGATGTTGTGATGAAAACAAACATATATAACTTGAAAACTAATACATGTGCCATAATACCGAGCGTGCCAGGATTCGAACCTGGAATCTTCTGATCCGTAGACAGACGCGTTATCCGTTGCGCCAAACGCCCTGTTCGTGTTTGATGCGTTTGTCTATTACTCGTAACACGTAATGAAACAATCAAAATACATAGGAATTAAAAGTTAAGTCATTTGAATTCTGGATATTCAGAATTTTGAATTATAGTATGCGTTGACTGTTTGACCGTTACGCTCGTCGGTCACAAGAGCGTTCATCGATGACAGTTTTGAGAAATGCAAATTTTGGAACCGCAGAAACTCCAGCCGATTCGTTTGATCTGTAGATGTTCACATGCTCATAGGTCCCTCAGTGTTCACCAATGACACGTGTGAGAAAATGAAACAGATTTGGGGATTCAGATGACACATGTTTATCGCAGGTGAGTTGCTCTGTCGTAAAGTTGATGTTGTGATGAAAACAAACATTTATAACTTGAAAACTAATACATGTGCCACAATATCGAGCGTGCCAGGATTTGAGATTTGAAGCTGGAATCTTATGATCCGTAGTCAGACGCGGTATCCGTTGAGCCACACGCCCTATTCGCCTTTGATGCGTTTGCCTAACACTCGTAACACGTATTGAAACAATCAAAATACATAGGAATTAAAAGTTAAGTCAATTGAATTCTGGATATGCAGAATTTTGAAGTATAGTATGCGTTGACTGTTTGGCCGTAACGCAAGTCGGTCACAATAGCGTTCATCGATGACAGTATTGAGACATGCAAATTTTGGAACCGCAGAAACTCCAGCCGATTCGTTTGATCTGTAGATGTTCCATGCTCAGAGGTCCCACCGGTGCTCACCAATGACAGGTGTGAGAATATGAAACAGATTTTGGAATTCATATGACACATGTTTATCGCAGGTGAGTTGCTGTGTCACAAAGTTGATGTTGTGATGAAAACAAACATATATAACTTGAAAACTAATACATGTGCCATAATACAGAGCGCGCCAGGATTCGAACCTGGAATCTTCTAATCCGTAGACAGACGCGTTATCCGTTGCGCCACACGCCCTGTTCGCGTTTGATGAGTTTGTCTATTACTCGTAACACGTAATGAAACAATCAAAATACATAGGAATTAAAAGTTAAGTCATTTGAATTCTGGATATTCAGAATTTTGAATTATAGTATGCGTTGACTGTTTGACCGTAACGCTCGTCGGTCACAAGAGCATTCATCGATGACAGTTTTGAGAAATGCAAATTTTGGAACCGCAGAAACTCCAGCCGATTCGTTTGATCTGTAGATGTCACATGCTCATAGGTCCCACCGGTGTCACCAATGACACGTGTGAGAAATGAAATAGATTTGGGGATTCACATGACACATGTTTATCGCAGGTGAGTGCTCTGTCGTAAAGATGATGTTGTGATGAAAACAACATTATAACTTGAAAACTAATACATGTGCCATAATACCGAACGTGCAGGATTCGAACCTGGAATCTTCTGATCCGTAGTCAGACGCGTTATCCGTTGCGCCACACGCCCTGTTCGCCTTCGATGCGTTTACCTAATACTCGTGACACGTATTGAAACAATCGAAATACATATGACTTAAAAGTTAAGTCAATTGAATTCTGGATATTCAGAATTTTGAAGTATAGTTTGCGTTGACTGTTTGGTCGTAACGGTCGTCGGTCACAATTGCGTTCATCGATGACAGTATTGAGACATGAAAATTGTGGAACGGCAGAAACTCCAGCCACTTCATTTTACCTGCAGATGTTCACATGCTCATAGGTCCCACCAGTGTTCATCAATGACACATGTGAGAAAATGAAACAGATTTTGGGATTCATATGACATATGTTTATCGCAGGTGAGTTGCTCTGTCGTAAAGTTGATGTTGTGATGATAACATACATATATAACTTGAAAACTAATACATGTGCCACAATATCGAGCCTGCCAGGATTTGAGATTTGAAGCTGAAATCTTCTGATCCGTACTCAGACGCGGTATCCGTTGCGCCACACGCCCTGTTCGCCATTGATGCGATTGCCTAACACTCGTGACATGTATTCAAACAATCAAAATACATAGGAATTAAAAGTTAAGTCATTTGAATTCTGGATATTCAGAATTTTGAATTATAGTATGCGTTGACTGTTTGACCGTAACGCTCGTCGGTCACAAGAGCGTTCATCGACGACAGTTTTGAGAAATGCAAATTTTGGAACCGCAGAAACTCCAGCCGATTCGTTTGATCTGTAGATGTTCACATGCTCATAGGTCCCTCCGGTGTTCACCAATGACACGTGTGAGAAAACGAAATAGATTTGGGGATTCATATGACACATGTTTATCGCAAGTGAGTTGCTGTGTCGTAAAGTTGATGTTGTGATGAAAACAAACATTTATAACTTGAAAACTAATGCATGAGCCATAATACCGAGCGTGCCAGGATTCGAACCTGGAATCTTATGATCCATAGTCAGACGCGTTATCCGTTGCGCCACACGCCCTGTTCAAAGTCGATGCGTTTGCCTATCACTCGTGACACGTATTGAAACAATCGAAATACATATGACTTAAAAGTTAAGTCAATTGAATTCTGGATACTCAGAATTTTGAAGTATAGTTTGCGTTGACTGTTTGGTCGTAACGGTCGTCGGTCACAATTGCGTTCATCGATGACAGAATTGAGACATGAAAATTTTGGAACGGCAGAAACTCCAGCCAATTCATTTTACCTGCAGATGTTCACATGCTCATCGGTCCCACCGGTGTTCATCATTGACATATGTGAGAAAATGAAACAGATTTTGGGATTCATATGACATATGTTTATCGCAGGTGAGTTGCTCTGTCGTAAAGTTGATGTTGTGATGAAAACATACATATATAACTTGAAAACTAATACATGTGCCACAATATCGAGCGTGCCAGGATTTGAGATTTGAAGCTGGAATCTTCTGATCCGTACTCAGACGCGGTATCCGTTGCGCCACACGCCCTGTTCGCCTTTGATGCGTTTGCCAAACACTCGTGACACGTATTGAAACAATCAAAATACATAGGAATTAAAAGTTAAGTCAATTGAATTCTGGATATGTAGAACTTTGAAGTATAGTATGCGTTGACTGTTTGGCTGTAACGCAAGTCGGTCACAATAGCGTTCATCGATGACAGTATTGAGACATGCAAATTTTGGAACCGCAGAAACTCCAGCCGATTCGTTTGATCTGTAGATGTTCACATGCTCAGAGGTCCCACCGGTGCTCACCAATGGCAGGTGTGAGAATATGAAACAGATTTTGGAATTCATATGACACATGTTTATCGCAGGTGAGTTGCTGATCCGTAGTCAGACGCGTTATCCGTTGCGCCACACGCCCTGTTCGCGTTTGATGCGTTTGTCTATTACTCGTAGCAAGTAATGAAACAATCGAAATACATAAGAATTAAAAGTTAAGTCAATTGAATCTGGATATTCAGAATTTTGAATTATAGTATGCGTTGACTGATTGACAGTAACGCTCGTCGGTCACAAGAGCGTCCATCGATGACAGTTTTGAGAAATGCAAATTTTGGAACCGCAGAAACTCCAGCCGATTCGTTTGATCTGTAGATG